GGGCTGGCCTGTCCTTGACGCCTTTCTCTCCTCGGTCTCCTCGTGCAGGTGTCTGTAACGTCAACCACCAGAACAAAGCGGGCTACACGGGCCTCATGCTGGCCGCGCTGGCCGCTGTGGAACAGGAGGAAGACATGGCTGTCATCCGGAAGCTCTTCGGCATGGGGAACGTCAACGCCAAGGCGAGCCAAGTAAGCATCCTGTGAGAAGGAGGGCAAATGGGAACCCTCTGTGCATGCCCAGGGGTCCTGTTGCTTGCTTCTTCACCTGAAACCCAGACCCGCGTTCATTCCACACTTTTCTCCTCTGGATTTCAGGCCGGCCAGACAGCGTTGATGCTGGCTGTCAGCCACGGGCGTCAAGAGATGGTGGAAGCCCTGCTGGTCAGTGGGGCTGACGTCAACCTTCAAGACGAGGAGGGCTCCACCGCCCTTATGTGCGCATGCGAACATGGGCGGGCGGGCACGGTCCGGCTGCTCCTCTCCCAACAGAACTGTGACGTCTCCACTGTTGATAATGTAAGTGGTGGATCTGGGACGGGCGCCGCCTGGTCTCTAACAGCAAGGTGGGCTTTAGTTTCTTAATTCAAGCTTCTAGTCCTCACTGCCCCCATTTCCCTCTCATAAAAGAATAAAATCTGCCTTTTTTTTTCTTTTACGGCACGCTGTGCCAAGTTACACTTCAAAGAGAATCTTAAAAAGCCTTTATGAACACGTCTGGATTCTTTACCCCACCGATTATGCCAATGAGGCAAAGGAGTAGAAACTAGGGATGTTCATCACGGGAAACTTTCGTCCACACCAATCAGCAGGACGGAGGCCTTTTTTTAAAAAGCAGTACCATTATTTGAGCTCTCCTGTTTTAATTTGGAGGGACCTCTTTGCTTCCTTCCCGTGGCTAATTAACGACATCTCGTCCTCTTTGCTTGGTTTGTCTCTAGGACGGGAATGACGCGGTGTCCATTGCACTAGAGGCTGGTCATCCAGACATCGCGGCCTTGATATCCACCCACCTCACACCGCCCGTGACCAGGCCACCCGTGAGTTAACCCTAGTCCTTTCTCATTTCTGGGATGGCGAATAAACCTCTGCCAATTTCTCTGCAGAATGTTCTCAGCCTACGAGCCTCAAGTTATAAAGATGCGAAGCAACTCATTTCCCCCGGGTGGGAGTGAGACCCCCCCCCCCGAGAGGTCTCCTCTAACAAAAGCACCTGTCTTGAAACACAGCAGTATTGGGGTTCTGTAACACTTCCACCGTTTACCCCACAGGAGGACAGCAAGAAGCTTCCCTGCAAGAAGAGGCGTCTGTAAAGCTCTGAGCCAGTCAACCCGATGGGTCCAAGAAGCCGTTCTACTCTAGAGCAAACATTTTCATTCCATTGAGACTTAAAGGGGGGGTTATTTTTTATGCTTCCCTGGAATTTTCCAGTATTGGCTTAATTCTTTTTATTATTATTTTACTAACTCTTCACTACTGCTTCCATGTGGAGGATCATGGAGAAACCAAACCCTAGAGACATGTCTCTCCCCCACCCCTCCTGTTTTCAAGCCCTGGTAAAACCAACTAAGAGTGGATTCCTTCTTCCACCAGGGCTCTAGTCCTCAGTGAAGTCAACCTGTAAATGTCACCACTCGGGTGAGATCAACCAGATTCCTACTGCAAAGAGAAAGAGGACGGGGCTGTGAATTCCTTCATGCCTGCTAGGGTTTTTTTTTTTGTTTTTGTTTTTTTTTGCATTGGGGAGAGCAAAATTCACTCCCCATCCAGAGCAGGGGGTTGGTGCCTTGCCTTTTGCTTGTTAAATGAAAATGTCCTTTACCAAAGGACATTTGGAGAGGCCCACATTTTATTTATGTCTGCCAACGAAGCCTGAGGTCCTCTTGATTCCTTTTAAGGGTGTAGATATTTGAGAAATCAGGGTGAGGGATATTCGCCAGGCTGGGTTAAGAAAATACCCTGCTAAAATGAGTTCTTAGAAAAAGAGTACTGCAGAAAACTGTGAAAGACGCGACCATCAACTCTCCAGAGTTGGGAAAAGGAGAACCCCAGACTCTGGGGGATCACCATAGTGAGGGTTATGATGTATGTTTTGATATGTCTCCTTATGTCCTGCCGCAGGACCATTTTCGGTCGCTAAGAAGGCAGGCCGCTTGAATTTATTAATTCCGTCTTCCTTATTACTCCCATCCGTCCTTGCCCTGAAGTAAAGAAGCTGTCATCTCTGCAAAGGACAGAGCTGTATCATCTTTCACTAAAAGGGAGCCACACCAAGTGACCCTAGTAAAGTGTTCATCCACAACATTTTTGTGTGTGTTTTGTATATTCACATACTACTATCTCACCCAAATATATATATAAAAATGTTGATGCTGGACTTGTCTCTTGCAAAATGTTAATGTATGAAAAGTCAGAAAATGGAGACTTGGAAAAAAGCAGCAGGGTTTAAATAAAAGAGTAAGAACACCTAAACTGTTAGGTTTTATAAATTTCTTTTTTTAAATACAGAGACCCACATTTATGGACTGCTGAATGATTTTGCAGTGTGTGTCTCCAAAGGCTTTTAATCACCCTGAGAAAGGGAGAAAAAGCAAGCATGGAGTGAAAAAGATTTTTCATTTGGGGATGTCCTCTCGTTCTAGACTGTTATTCCAAAAACCAACCATTGTGGTAGCAAGCATCACACGCACAAGTTTAAAAGGGGAAAAAACACATGGACATTTTATTGGATTTGCATCTGGTTTCTCGACTCTCCTCAACCGGGAAGCACACAATCTAAGAAAAAAGAAAAATTGAAATAGATTTCAGTAATAAGCTCAGTTTCCCCCATTCCCGATGGGGGCAATGTGTCCTTGTTGGTCCTCCTCGACATCTCAGCTGCCTTTGATACCGTCGACCACGGCATCCTCCTGGGGAGGCTCTCTGAGCTGGGAGTCGGCGGCCTTGCACTTGCTTGGCTCCGCTCCTTCCTGGAGGACCGCCCCCAGAGAATACAGATTGGGGAGAATGTCTCGGCCCCGTGGAGTCTCAATTGTGGGGTCCCACAGGGGTCGATCATCTCCCCAATGCTGTTTAACATCTACAGTATATGAGGCCGCGGGATGGGGTAATCGGGGGGTGTGGGGCAACCAGTACGCTGATGACACACAGCTCTACATCTCTTTTACTCCAACTTCAGTGGATGCCGTCCAGTCCCTCCAGCGCTGCCTGGCGACCATACTGGAATGGATGCAGTCAAATGGATTGAGGCTGAACCCGGACAAGACGGAGGTCTTGAGGGTGGGTGGCCCTCCCGTTAGCGGCATAGGTGACTCCCTTTCTTTTGGAGGGACGACCCTTGCCGCAAAGAGTGAGGTCCGCAGCTTGGGGATACATCTGGACCCGGCGCTAACCATGGAAACCCAGGTGGCGTCCGTGGTCCGTTCCGCCTATTTTCATCTATGGCGGATTGCCCAGCTGCGGCTATATCTTGATCGGGGGG